TGCTTTCTCAAACTCACGACGGCATACTATAAATTCATGTTATTGGATCTCAATGGGGTCACGGCAATCCTTTTATTCCTTCCTAATTGATTCTCTATCTCAATCCTCACAGAAGCTAGTCCAAATCTTTTCTTCCCTCTTCAATTTCTACATACCTCTTCTTCCCCTTTCTCAGCTGACTTCAATTTTTACTTTAATGACAAAATGGAGGCTATTTCTTTCATCTCAAAATCCCTTGACATCATTTCCCACTCTTCCTTTCGCCCAGGCACCAACAAAGGGGCAGCCCTTGTCCTTGTCAAGGTCAACCCTTCTACATCTACACTTGATCCTATCTGCTTCTGTCTTCTCCTTTAAGATGAGTCTTCAAATCATGCCCTCTTCTTTCTAAGCTTCACTCTCTATCTACTGATTCCTACATTACTGCCTTTAAACATGTCCAAGTCTCCCCCATCCTTAAAAAAAAGCTTTCATGAGGCCCTATTATTCCCTCAACCTCTTGTCCTATATCACTTCACTTTTTCTCTGCCAAACTCCTCGAAAAAGCTGTCTACACTTGCTGTCTCTACTTGCTGTCTCTACTTTCTTGTCCTTTCATCACCCCTCAATCTTTAGCTATCTGGATTTTGACCACATCATCAAACCGAAATGGCTCTCTCTCAATTGGGTCTTTCCCAAGGCACTTTCCCTGGACCCTCATCTCTTCTCCCTATGTGCCTCCTTTCTTGGTAACTTTATCAGTTCACATGGGATTAATTACTCAGATGTATATGCCCATTCTCAATCTTTCTCCTGAGCTTCGGTCTCACATCACCCATAGGACTCAACCTATTTCAAATTGGATATCCCAATTAAATTAAATAATTAATAATAAATAAATTAATTAAATTTATCATGTCTAAAACTGAAGTCTTTATTTTTTCCCCTTACCTGTTCCCGCTTCCAAACTGCTCTATTTCTGTTATCCTTCCAGTTTCTTATATTCATAATCTCATAATTACCTTGGATTCTCTCTCTCTCTCTCTCACACACACACACACACACACCCTACCCAACTGCCAAAAATGTTAATTTTTAACCTTCAAAACATCTCTCAAAACTGACCGCTTCTCTGTACTCACAGTTACCAACTTAGTTCACATCTTTATCACCTGTCATCTATTTTATTGCCATAGCTTCAAGTTTCTTCTCACTTCAGTCCATTCCACAACTGTTGCCAAAGTAATATTCCTTAAGTGAAGCTCTAACCATGTGACTCCTGTATTCAGCCAACCAGTGGCTTCCTATGGCCTCTAAGATCAAATAGAAACTCCTTTGTTCAGCCTTTACAGCCCTACACAAGCTGGCCCCAGCCTACCTTTCCAGACTCCTTGAACATTATTCCCTCTTCCTCACTGAGTCACCCAAATTGGCTTTTTGTCCTCACACACACTTCACCTCCTGTTTCCACATTTTTGCTCTGGCCAACCCTCATGCCTAGAACATATTTCCTCTCCATCTCACAGAATCTCTCTCTCCCTTTAAGATGCAGATCATGCAGCATCTCTGAATCAACCTTTTTTCTGATTCCCCAACCGCTAGCTAGTATTCTCCCTTAGGCCTGGAGATGGGAAGACCCGAGTTCAAATGTGGCCACAGACATTTACTAGTTGTGTGAGCCTGGGCAAGTCACTTACCCTGTGCTTGCCTCAGTTTCCTCAACTGTAAAATGGTGACAATAATAGCATCTAACTCCGAGGGTTGTTTCGAGAATCAAATGAGAGTATCATTGTAAAGCACTTAGCACAATGCCTGGCACATAGTAGGTGCTGTTGGTTAATCTTTTCAGTCATGTCTGAGTCTTCGTGACCCCATTTGGGGCTTTCTTTTCTTTTTTTTTTTTACTCGCTCCTTCCTCCCCTGATCCCATTTCTCTTTTTCAGGCTAAACACACCCAGTTGCTTCATATGACAAGTTCCTGAATCCCTCTTCTGGACATGCTCCTATTCTTTTTTTTTTTTTTGAGGGGGGGCAATGCCCTCTCCTAAAATGTGGTGTCAAGAACTGAGGAGATTTTCCAGATCTGGTCTGGCCAGGACAGTTGTTGTTCAGCTGTGTCTGACTCTCCATGACCCCATTTGGGGCATTTGGGGCTTTCTTGACAAAGACACTGGAGTGGTTTTCCATTTCCTTCTCCAGCTCACTTTACAGATGAGGAAACTGAAGTGAACAGGGTTAAGTGAGTTGCCCAGGGTCACACTGCTAGTAAGTGTCTGGGGCCATCTTTGAGCTTAGGAAGAAGAGTGACTCTTGGCCAGGCACTCTATCCACTGTGCCACCTAGCTGCCCCACTGATTCACTTTATAGTCATGCTATATATACTTACGTGTACGTGTCATCTCCCCCATTAGAATGTAAACTCTTTATATGTAAGGATTGTTTCATTTCTTGTACTTCTATCTTCTTCAAGGATGGGGAGCCTGTGGCTGTCGAGGCTTCAATTCCCCACCCCTGAAGGGGGTCTTGGGCAGAGGAGTGATCTGCCCTTCCCTCCCTCCCTTGATATTCCCTTTTCCCTGGATAGGGGCTCAATCTTCCTAAAACATTGAGGAATGTCCTATGCCAACAGACACATAGATAAGTGGGTGGGTGGCCTGAATGGGGTCAGGTTCAAATCCCACCTGAGACACTTGTGTGCTGAGGGACCCCAGTGGCACATTTAATCTGCGTCTCAGTTTTCTCACCTGTACAATTGGGACGGTAATAGTACCTATCCCACAGGGTTGTGAGGAACAAATGAAATAATCACTGTGGAATACTTTGTAAATTTTGAAGAGATATATAAATGCTAACTTTTCTTACTATACTTGGCTGAGAGCCCTTGATGTCCCCTGAGGGGAGAGGAGGCCCTCCGGAAGCCCTATCTCTTCTCACCCCAGCACAGTGGACCGTGGCTGCCTCTTGCTGTCTCGAGATCACCAGGCTTTTTCTTTTAGCCAAAGTATGGCTAACCCAAAACTCATCAGCTTGAACTTCTGCTCTGCAAAGTCATTCTGAAACAGGCCTCTGGAATGACAGGCGTGGAGATGGGGGAGGGGATCAGGGCCAGTACAGACAATTGTCTACTCGGCTGGAGTCATGCAGGACCTAAGGGAGTGGACGGAACCTGGGGGAGCCAGTCAATTCTGCCTTGTCATACTTTGTAAGTGGTGGCTCAGGGGTACCCACAAATCACGCGAAAGATATGAAGGAAATGTCTACCCAAATAACACAGAGCTCCAGCGGATTCTCTGAAAATGTCTTTGGACTGAGGCCTGGATGCAATCTAAGGGATCTCTGGATATCTTATAAAATACAACCTTGTGTCCCAAACCTACACAGTCATGTGGGAGACAAATGGCCCAGGAAGGCTCATCCGAGCAGTTCCACCTACTCCTTTGCTGAATACCTAGTCTGACATCTCCTTGGCCATCACAGGGGAAACCTAAAAGTGGCAGGCTTCCAAGAGGAGGAAGAAGAAGATAGAGGGTAGGGCTGACTGGCATCTGGGCACATTCTCTGAGCACGGCCATCCCTTACAACAGGAATCTTGAATCTGATGAATGTTGGTAGATGGGCAGCACTTCACTGAAGGCCAAAGCATCTGAGTAAATGAGGCACTCAATACCTACGCTTGGTCTAGGTCTGCCCCTTCCTTTCTCTCTAGCCTCAGATTTCATTCACTGAGTCACTGTGGAAAACTCTGATGTTTGAAAGTAAACTCCTCTTCTTAAGCTGATCCTTTCTAATAATGTAATAACCACTCACATTTAGAGTCATTTTTGGTCTGTTAACTGGTATAAGAGAGGGTTTGTCATTAAAGAAATATATGACCAGAAAAAAGAGGTCATATTGACGAGATGGCTGTTGTCCTTCATGCTGCACTATGACATCACTGTGCTGGGGACAGTGATGAGATGACAAATCCATTGAAGTATTCTCCAGAGCCCTCAAGGATTGACTAGTAAAGATTGAGCTTCCACACCTCATTCAGAGCTTCTAAAGGTCCGCCACCTCCTAGCTTGGGCCGTCTCCTTTCTACCTGATTTTATTTAGAGGCTGTTCTTTAAACAGGGCACAGTGAACCCTTCAGAGGACCTTGATCTCTTTCCTATCTCCACATAATTCAGGAATCAGAAATGTATTAGACTTATTAAACTCAGAAAGGGAAAATTTTGCTCTATCTTGGGTTCTTTGCTTTATTATTTTTCCTTATGGAGACACAAAAGTGCCTAAAAAGCATATTTAGTTTCACTTGTACAGATAAACTACTAATGCTTTTATACTCTCAACTGATTCAAAGATATGACTGCTTAACAATGGAATGTATTGTCTTTCCTTACAAACAGCTTTGGGGGAGCTATTCAGAAGGTAGAAGGCCTCACTACCTCTCCTGACAACCCAAATCCTAATCTTATTTGACTGGATGTCTTCTGTGGTGTAAGGAAAGAAATACTTGGGATGAAATCCTCAAGAGTTAGAAGAGAACTTAGATATTATCTAGTCCTACCCTTCCTGAACCACTAACATTCTCATTCTACAACATTCCCAACAAACAATCTACCTCCTGTCATGCCTGTGAACAAGAATCTCTTCATCAAATTTCTAATATCCTTCCTAAGTTAGAAGCCTAAAGGGAACAAGGTGTTTCTCCCTACTCTCGAATTCTCCAAGCCTAATGAGTTCCTTCCTTCTTGAAGCCTTTATTTGGCTTGAAACAGACCAGGAATGTGCTAAGCTGCTGACTAAGAACTAAGCTTGTTCCCCGAGTTCAGGCATTCTTCCCCGATCAAAGTTCAGAGGGTTGCGCTTGTAGAGACTGATTGAAAACAAAGACATCTGCTTTATTTCCTCAGGGCAGCTGTGGACATACACTTTTTTTTTTAACATGTCACTTTAACTATGATAAACCCAAAGCACAGTGGTATTTCTTGGTCACATGTTGGTAAACGGCTGGAAATGTTGGTGATGAACCAGGGATCTGTGGTCCTGCAAGTGGTAACTTCACTGAAGCACGCCTGCTGCTGCTGCTGGGCTCTCTCCATGCCAGGAATGATTGTTGCTCTTCAGCCCTACGAATGAGAGTCATGTTACGTATGGCTCAGTGACACTGTAAAGAGCAGGACACTTCTACTAGTGAACACAGACCTTGGCAGGGGCTGACTGGGGGACTGGGGAGGGGCTAGAAGCCCTTTGGTCACTTAGCTATGGCTTATATACCTTATGAATCTCTCATAGGAAATATTTTATCCTCAGTTGCTTTGCTCAACTGTCTAACATGGGGTCTGAACCATTTTCCCTGATCCCCTAACACATGTGACTACTCAGGGAATGAAGACTAATTTTAATACTTTATTAGACTAAGCAAGACATAATGAGAAATATAAGTTAGTGCTGATGCTACCAAAAATCATATAATGGCATGCTGAAACCAAACGGATCATCTAGGAATAGTTGGTTTTATTTTTTCACACATTACGTGTCTTTTCATTATGATGTATAATTGAGCATATTTTTTTCTTTGCTAGACATGTGTTTTCATTGGTGTAGGGTAGTGGTGTTAAACTCAGAAAGAAACAGGGGCCACTGCTCTATACATAATGATCCATGTGGTCCACATATGGATTTAGTTTTACAATGTACTGTTACCTATATTTTATTATATTTTTATTTATTTTACTAAGTATTTTCCAATGACATTTTAATCTGCACTGTGGTGGGTGCATGTTTGATACTTCCGGTGTAGGGAACTACTGGCCTGCCAATGCAGATCTGCAATTACTCTGCAACTTATAATTTTGGAGTGCTGCCTGGAGCCCTGAGAGGTAAGGAGACTTAACTAGAGTCACACAGCCAACGTTCGAGAGGGAGGATCCCCTTAATAAAAGGATTTGTTCCGTGAGGTTTGGATTCAGTCAAAGGGCTGCACCTGAGGGCCTAGAGGGGCTACATGTGGCCTCAAGGCTGCAGGTTCTCCATCCCCATCTCTACCCTTTCATGATCCTAGTTTGCCAGTACCTTTGTTCACATGTGCTTGTCTGTCCAGAATTGGACACAATATTCTATTTCAGAAGCCTTTGTGGAGACTCTGAAGTGAATACAATAAATTCACTTCCACTTTAAGGAATTCTTCTACCAAAACTTTCATCTTTTTTTGCTCTGAAAGAACATGGTATTACTAGGAGACATGAAAACTGGGTCTTGTTCCCCTAATGCCATTTGCTATTGATGTGATCTTGAGCAGATCACCAAACCATCCTGTGCCTTAGCTGCCTTTTCTATAAAGTGGAGACACTACCACCTCTTACTGGGTAGAATGCAAGTTCCCTGAGGACAGGGACTACTTCAGTTTTGAGTTCTTAGCACTTACCCATAGCATGTTAAACAGAGTGGCTCCTTAATGAATGTTGAACTGAAGGCAGGGACTGAATCAGAGCTCTCCTGAGGTCTGCCCCAGCTCTAAAATCTATGATTCCTGATGTGCAGCCCAGTACTGGGATGACAAGGAGGCAGCATGGTACAATGGAAAGAAGACTGGCTGGGCAACCAGAGCAACTGGGTTAAAACTCTCCCTCTGATAAATACTCCCTGTGCAACCCTGAGCAGGGCATTTAACCTTCATGTGCCTCATTTTCCTAACCTGTAAGTGAGCAGGTAGACTAGATAGGCTATCATTTATGATTCTATCATCTTGAGTAACAAAGCTACAAGGTTGAATAGGATTTCTTGGCTCCTAACCAAGGGTATAAAGACGGAAGTTTATTTTCTTCTACAAGACTGGATGATTTTTCAATCTTATTTTTAAGGGAAAGAAATATTGGTCAGTTTAAAAGTCAGTGGGCTCTTGAAGCTACTTAGTAAATTATTCTTAATAAGCCAGAAAACACTTGTACATGTATCTCTTTAGAGCCTCTCCCATCCTTCAAATCCATGTAACATCCATCCTCTAGCAGAATGTCAGCTCTTTGAAGGCATGGACTGTTTTCTTTCTGCCTTGATTCCCAGGACCTGGCACAGGGTACCAGACTGCTGAACTGAACAGACTCTTTTACATAACAAGATGAACTGTGGGTGGTATGAAATGAGATTCAGCATTTAAAATAACTTTCAATCAAGGTGAAGGTCCTAGGCAAAACCTAGGCTAAAACAAACAAACAAAAAACCCCCCATGTCTATAACTGAGTTTTAACAGGTACCTGGTGTACAAACACAGGTCTCAGAAAAAAATTCACTTGCATTAACAGTGTCACGTAGGGTTCTTACCTTTATCCTTCACTTCTTTAAATAACAGAATTTTCCAGCGGAAACTAACTCAGGGAGAATGTTCACTCATATGTGATTTTCATAAAAATCAGGTTCTTGCTTGTTAAAAATCTATGGAGAGCCTAAACTCCCGCCAGGAAGCTATCCACATCCATATACATGCACATGCCTCTGGGCTCTGATTGCACTGGGCGAGAGTTTGCAAGGCCTCAGAAAATGCCCAAGAACCCTTGGAGTGTGAAGGCATTATCTCTCTTTCCCAGCTACCTGCCTAATGGCTGGGCCTCTGCCCCACTCACCTAGCCCCTAACTAATGTAGACCATGGTGATTTCCTGCTACCCGGCTACTGCCTGTGGCAAATCCCTATGTCATACACTGGAGTACACTAGCCAGCAGTCTTCTGAGATGCTCATTGGGAGGGGGCAGAGCGGATGCTTGCAGCAACACACACATACACTGTTATAGCCAGAATCTTTGGATCCTGAGATTGTGAAGGTATTAGGTCTAACACGCATTCCCCGCACACTATACACTCAAATTCAGTTGGATCCTTCACTGGCCTCTGCTGTTGCCAGTTGTTCAGCCTCCAATTTACTCTTTAACAACACTGGGGGTGGGAAAGGGTGGGGGCGGGGAGTTAGGCCTGGCAGCTTCCCAGCACCTTCTTGGGCAGGCTGGCTGCAGAAAGCAGGCTGAAGTTTAATGCAATCTGTCTTCCTTCATAATCACATTTTGCCTGTACTTGGTGCAATAAAGATGTATTGGTAAATGTGTTTGCTAAAGATATACTCTGCTAGGGGAAAAAAAGTCAACACCCCACTCCTCCCCAAATACTGCCCCAATCCCCCAAAGCTAAAAGCCTGATTTGTAGAAGGGAGAGAAGAAAATGCCCAGTGCTGGGGGATAGGACTGGAGACAGCTGGACAGTAGGATCCCTTAGCATAGCATTTCCCCAAATAAGAAATCAGATATGCCAAAAATTAGTTAGGGACTTGAAATATCCTATAGGTCTGGGGATTGGGGGGAGGGGAGGATGGGAGGTGGGAGGAGAAGGGCTTTTAATTAAAGTTTTAAGCTTGCTGATTTGCAGACATACAAAGACCATCTTGGTAAATAGGAAGGATAAAAAAAAAATTCCACCAGGACTTACACCATTTGGTCTAATACAGCCTGACAATTTTCCCCATCTCCGTCTGTTGAAGATTCTTCAGGGATGGTTGGCAGCTTGTTTCATGTTAGACTTAAAATTAAGCAAACAGATTCCGTCCTTAGTAGGAGAGAAAACAGCATCTCTCCATCCTTAGCTTCTTTACCTTTGGAGGCTCAGAGTGCTCCACTCCCCACCTCCTTTGGAACCTCAGAAGTTCTGTCTCTGATGGTGCCATGAGAGAGCCATCCCCTACTTCCAAGGAGATGAACAATGAGAGGTCGATGCTAGGGTAAAGTACATTCCCTGGCCTGGGTGGTACACAACACTTCCATGAGGAGTGCTCTACTCTAGGAAAGATTCAGGGGGCATGAGTTGAACTGGGCCTTTGTGAGGGCCCTGACTTAACCCAGCTCCCTCAAAACCCATCTCAATTTGTTTCCTGTGGCCTCTGAGCTACAGGGGGACTAGATTCCAGGCACCTGTCTCTCAACATTCACCTAAAGCTCAGTCAGAGGGAAACCTTTTGACTGCTGGAGGGAGACAGCTACAGATAAGAGCCTCGAGGTGGAACAGCCTGCTTCAGCCAAGGACTGCTCTGACCTTGGTTACCACATGTCATCACACAGAGCAGCTGGCTCTCTGGCTCTGGAAAATGGGCTCATCTGTGGGGAAGAGAAGTGAGCCCTCACCCTTTATCAAGGCATTGATGCAAGAATGAGAATCTTCTTTTTCAAAAACTAGCTCTAAGAGCTTTTCATCTAAGATAGTAAGTGGAAGCCAAAGATGGTTGGTGAGCACAAATGTCCACCGAGTCAGGAAGGGATGGGACACAGGGAGAAGAAAAAGACAGAGGGGAGATAGGTATTTGTTGGATTTGTTTGAAGAGAAGGGGTCTGGCAGGAGAAAAATCTTTTGAATAAATGCGGTATATTAAGTAGTGGCAAATATCAAAACAGAAGACAAGGGACTGCCTAAGTTAGAGAAATTTCATCCCTTCATACTTCATAAATTGTTTGCTGCTCAGACAACCAGAGTATTCTGGTTAGCTGGAAAGGGAATGTGTTTAAGTCAGGTTTACACAGGTTAAAACAGGGGTGAGGAACTTGTGGTCTTGAGGCCAAATATAGCCCTCTAGGTCCTCAAGTGTGGCCATTTGACTGAATCCAAACTTCACAGAACAAATGCCCTTAATAACAGGATTTGTCCTATAAAACTTGGACTTAGTCAAAAGGCTGCACTTGGGGACCTAGAAGGCCACATGTGGCCTCGAGGCTGCAGGTTTCCCACCCCTGGGTTAAAATAACGCCTTGACTGGACCTGAAATCCATACAGAAATCAAAATCTTGGTCTTAAATTGTCCTCTGATGATCACCCTGTAGAGAACCTCTTTTTTTTTTTTTTTAAGGCAATGGGGGTTAAGTGACTTGCCCAGGGTCACACAGCTAGGCAGTGTCAAGTGTTTGGTCTGAGGCCACATTTGAACTCAGATCTTCCTGACTTCAGGGCCAGTGCTCTATCCACTGTACCACCTAGCTGCCCCCCTTACAGAACCTCTTCTTATTCTAACAGGATGTCCAGAACTGCTTCCCAGTTAGCCCTATGCTTCATTTCCAGCCTGGTGTCTCTGATGCAGGAAGGAACTGGCATTCCTTGCTGAGTCTGGGCTTTGTAGAATTGCTCTCCTGCTGGCCTAGATGTAGCAGAGGAACAGAATCTAATGCAGAGGCAATACAGACCCTGAGGAACGGGCTGCCATCCTTGGCAATTCTCTGACCTTGTGTTTCCCTCTAGCACCCACCAAGACCAGGCTTTCACTCTATCTTAAGGGTATCCTCTGAGGTCTTAGCAGGTGTCTCTGATCTCTCGATTGTGATCAACCACTCAACACTTACATAGTGGGCTATTTATCACCTCCCACAATGTCCCACTTCCCAGGTCCAAAATACTGATAAGCTATAAGGGAGTCCCTGGGACCCAAGGTTATTTGAAAAGCTAGCCTGAATAATCCACTGGCAGTAAGAGAGGTGGGTGGTAGCTGGAGGATGACGGAAGGCTGCTGATCACTGGCATTTTATAGCCTTGTGGCCTTATGGCACTTCAGGGCAGATGGAAGAACCTACAGATTGGAGGAGGGGACAGTATAGTTGGAGAATGATTTGACATTTTCTGTAGGGTATGGTGAGAGGGAGTTAAGCCCAAAATTGCTGGAAATGGCCATGTTAATTTCTCCATTAACTTTCCACTAATTCCCTCTCTCCTTATAACACAATTCTTCAGTAGCAGCTTCCTTTCCCAATTTCTATGGTCACAGACATTATTTTAATCATAGGAGCCTGAAGGGATTACAGAGAACATCTTGTTCAACCTCTCCATTTTACAGATGAGGAAAAATGAGGCCCAGAGAGGGGAAGTGACTTACTCAGCCAACATCAAATAAGTAGTCCAGTAGCAGAGATGGGATTTGAGCCCAGGGTTTTTGACTCTAAATCCAACATTCTTATAGTATGTTCAGCTCCCTCTTTATCTTGAGGCTCCTTTATACCAAAAGGCTGGGGATCCTCTCGTTAGGGTCTGGGCAGAGAAGAGACAGGACCATTCCCCAAGAGGAATGATGAGGAGACAGGGAAGGGCAGAGCTAGAAGGGAAGTATCGGACTACATGCAGTGAGTGTCGGGGAAGTCTGAGGAGAAGGAGGCAAGAAAGGAGTGCAAGGAGCTGGGTGTACCTTCTGGGCAGTGCTCACGCAGTGTTGGTAGGCCTTGACCAGGTCAGAGCACTTGAGTACCTCCCGAAGGTTGTCTCGGTAGCAGTGAAGTATCTTGGATTGAAGGCCTGAGCACACAGGATCCACCCTTCGAGGTCTAGAGAAGAAACCAGGAAACAACCATGTCTAAATGACCCTAGCGGTCTGTGTTGACTCCAGCCCTAAATGATGCACGGTGACACACAGGTAGGGCTTTACGGGGCCTCCTTCTTTTAGGAGCCCCACATCTCTCCCCAAATGAGCTGACACAAGACCAGTTTGCTGCAAATAGTTGGATAAAGGACTGTGACTTCTTCAATTCCTCTCTCTCTCTCTCTCCCCCTCCCTCCCTACTTTCCCCCTCTTTCCCTCCTCTGGAATGAAGCCAAGTCCATAGTGGGTATCACCACTATGGTGGCAAAGGGAGAGAAAATACAAGCCAGGAAGGCAGGAGGAGGGGAGCTGAGAGAGGCTCCCAAACCTTTAAATCTCATTAGCACTATGATCAATACTAGTCGCCCACAGCAATATAAAGAGAATTGGAAACAACTGTTACTTCATTCTTCCTTTGTGTCCTGTTTTGGGTGCAGAGACCCAGGGCTGGCCTTATGAAAAGACTGGTATGACTGGGGGGAGTGATGGGCAAACTTTTGTTCCAAAATCTCTACCGACTTCTAAAGAAAGCTTGCCATCAGAGGGACTTATTCAAAGACTCTATTAAGATACAAATATTGCTTGGAGGGAAAACCCTTTTCCAGGGGAGTTCCTAGTCTTCTTTGTATCCTGGACCCCCTGGGCAGCAGTTTAGGGAAGCCTATGGGCCCCTTCTCAGAATCAAGTTTTTAAATTCATAAAATGTAGGATTACAAAGGAAAACAAGTTATCAAAATATTGAAAAAACCAAACAACAAAATTCATGAACCCTCATGAACCCCAGTTTTAGACTAAACCCCTGCTTTAGGCAAAGTTAACTAATCTTTAGGTAACATCTTGCTAACTGCAAAGAGACAACCCTAGCAGAGGCCCAGGAGGCAAGGCAGGGAGAGCCTGAAAAAGGAGGAAGGAGGAGACAGCTAGGTCTGGCCCTGGATCAAGACAGAATTGCTGTGTCATGGTACCAGACACACCAGCAGCCACACTCAGTGTGGGTCTTCTCACATAACCTTGGACTTGATTAGTGTCTGCCTCTGGAGCTCTCTTCTGGTGTAAAGTCACATTTCATTTATTAAGTATCATCAGGCAATGAGCTATTCAATGATATATATTTTTTGATAACTGAAGATTATGTTTTGAATGTCAAAACTTAAAAACAACAACAAACAACCATTTTTGGTGACTTGCACATTTTCCTGACTTCTCAAATAAGGACTGAACATTTAATCTTTTTTTTTTTAATAGAAGAGTTTTTTTAATTTGTAGCATTAGAGTCAGTTTTACAGAGGCAATCCAAGACTTCAAATCCACCAATTTAATAATGCTACAGTAGAGAATGAAAGGCAATTGGGCATAGTGGATAAAGGGCTGACCTTAGAGCCAGGAAAACCCCTAAATTTAGGTCTAGCTTCAGATACATACTGGCTGCACGTCCCTGGGCAAGCTACTCAGCTGCTTAGTGCTTTAGCCCAGTGGTGTAAAACTCAAATTGAAACAGGGTCACTAAACCACACATTAGGATCCCTGGAGGTCACATCTTGACTCAGAAAAACATTATTAACATCATCTATGTCCTACTTTATTTTTATTCTTTTTGTTCAATATTTCCCAATGAAATCTGACCCCGGTTCTGGGCCGCCCTTTGGAGGCCTGCATGCTTGGCATCTCTGCTCTAGGCTATTCTCAAAGGTCACACATTGCAGAGATTGGCACCTCTACCAGAATCGACAGAAGAAGTTTCCTCACCTGGAAGTTGCCAGTCTAGTCCCTATCCCTAGGAACAAAGTATTGCTCTGCACTCTTTAGCATGTTGTTCTTTGGTGAGACATTCAGATATTTCCCACGATGGAATTCCCAGCTGCTATGAAAGGTACCTGAGCATTTTTCTTCCTTAAACATTTTTTAAATTGATGTCTTTTATCTTTATGTCTTGGTCTTCCCTCCTCCTCCATTACCCCTTTGTGGCAAAGATAGACAAAAAAGCAAACACCTCAGCTGACAATGCAGAAGACATTCTGTCCTGCATTAACTTTTTCTAAATCAATGTGCATCCCAGAGGGCAGCCTGGTAGAATGGGAAGAGCCCTGAAGCTCGTTCTGATTCTAGCACTCATTACCTGAGCTGATGACGACCTCTTGAAGCCTTAGCTTTGTTTTCAATAAAACAGGAATAATCATACTCTCATTTCTTAATCTCACAGGGCTATTGTGAGGATCCAAAGTATGATATAAATGACAGCCACCATCATTCTTATTATTATGAATACCAGTCTTCCCTCACTCCTCCTCCACATGCTTTAGAGCACTACCCAATCGGCCTTCATAATGCATGGCTCTCATCACATCACACTTCTACTCAGAACCTTTCAATGGCTGCCCACTGCTTAAAGAATGAAGCAAAAATTCCTCATTATGGTATTTAAGGCCTTCCACAATCTGTCTCAAACCTTTCTTTGTAAGCCTTTCCTCCTTTTATTCTCCTTCCCGTACTCTACATGCCAAACTTATTCCATCTCTCTGCCTTTACCTCAGTACTGCCTTCTATGCTGGGGTGACTGGCATGGGCCCCTCCCTTCCTCTGCCACCTCTACCTACTGAACACTTCTTCCTTTTCTTTAAGGCTCACACTGTGTACTTTAAGTCCCACCTTGGGCACCTGTTTCCCATGCGACCCTGGCAAGTGGCTTAACCTCTCAGTGCCCTGAGGCAACTCTCAAAGACTGCAAGTTTCTCAACAGCACACTGAGCGTATTAGTAGAGAGAATTTCCTCACCAAGAACTCCTTATAAAATCGCAGGCATGGACTAAAAAAATGTTAAAAGTATTTGAATTTAAATTCTGTCTTGTATTTTCTGTTATTTCTGTACTCTTTTGTCTCTCCCATAGACTGCAGACTCACAGGAAGATATATCTTGCTCAAAAGGAATAGGGCAGGTAAATGGGAAGGCAGGCAGCAGACCATGAGACACTCAGACTACACACTCTTGAGGAGATTCAGGCAACCATTTTAGGCCTTGCGCGACCATCCCTCATGCCTAGAATCCACCTCCTCCTCCTCTTCCCACTCAAGAGGCCCTTGTTTGCTTCAAGACCAGCTCAAGCACCATCTTTTATATACAGCCTTTTCAGATCCTCCCTAGTTATTACTGCCTGCCTCCTAACTTAATTACCTTATATTTATTTTGTATACACTGTACAATTATAACAATAATAACTACTACCATTTTAAAGACCTTTAAAGTTGCGAAGCGCAATATTATCTCATTTAATCCTCACAACAGCCCTAGGAAGCAGGTGCTATTATAAACCTCCACTTTACAGATGAGGAAACTGAGGCAGACAGAGGTTAAGTGACTTGCCTATGGTCACACAGCTACTAAATGTCTGAGGTTGGATTTGAATTCAAGTCACCTGACTCCAGGCACAGCATCCTATCCACTGGGCCACACAGTTTCTCAGTATATACAACTGAATGTAAGCTCCTTGAAGGAATGGAAAGTTTATACATACATACATACATACATATATATATATTTTATATATATATATATATATATATATACACACACACATATATATATGTATATATATGATGGAAAGTTTATATATATATATATTTGTCTTTGTATTGCCTAGTGTGGTGCCTTCAATACAGCCTTCTGTTTGTTGACCAGATGACTGATAAACAGAGGGGAAAAGCATAGTGAGAAGATCACTTCAGTGAAACCCAACAGAGGCAGGAACTTAAGTGATATTTGTCATTTTCACATACTTGGCACTTGGTCAGAAGTGGGAAACAGATGAGGAGTTTGGGAGATAAGTCACAGTATTAATGATGATAATGATAACATCAATAATAATCATAATAGCTTGCATTTATATAGTGCCTACTAGGTGCCAGGTATTATAAGCACTTTAAAAATACTATTTCATTTGATCCTCACAACGACCCTGAGATGTAAGTGCTATTATCACTCCTGTTTTATAGATAAGAAAACTGAAGCAAACAGAGATTAAGTGACTTGTCCGAAGTCACCTAAGCTAAGCTAAGCTTAGTGTTGGGAAGTGTTGGAGGCTGGATTTGCACTCAGGCTTACCCAACTCCAGGCCCAACACTCTGTGGCGCCCCCAGTGGCCTTGCACAGAAGTATGACATAGTATTGATGGTGGAGGTTTCAGTATTTTGGACACCAGCTAGAGTTCTCCCTCTGCCCAGGCAAAGCAGCCCATAGTTTATCTCCTTTCTGTTCTCCTCATCTCTTTTCTTCTTTTTCTCCTTCTTTCTCATTTTTACCGGTCCTGTGATTTTAAGCATGTAGGGAGCTCCTGGTGGTAAGAACTTCCAATCCAGACTAGCATCTCTGGAGTTTAAAGTCTTCAAAAGCTGAGTGGGGCCCTGAGAGGGCCGGCAGCTGTCCAGAGGTAATAAGGCCAGTATGTGTCAGAGATGTGCAGCTGAAGGCTTCACGATTTTGGGGCCGATCTTGAACCTTTGTGGCGGTATGCCTCTTGATAATTTCTTAGTTTGCTTTCATGATAATTTTATCCTTCAAAAGGTGGAAGAATCAATGAAGGAGTATTTATCTTCGATGATATTCACCCACAAAGAGGAATTGTTTAAAGACAGGGATGTGAATGCACAGGAAACTCATCAGGCCAATTAAATTTCTTTTTCTTTTTGGTGAGGCGGAGTTAACTGACTTGCCCAGTGTTACGCAGCTAGTAAGCGTTAAGTATCTGAGGCTAGATTTGAACTCAGGTCCTCCTGACTCCAAGGCCAGAGCTCTATTCACTGAACTGCCTAGCTGCCCCTCAGTCAATTAAATTTTAAAAAGTCACGTAGAGAAGCCAGAAGCTAGGGGTGTAAAGGAGGACAATTACAAATGTAAGGTGTAGTCCTGTAAGAACAGTGTCTGGTGTACTAGAACTCAGAACGAGCTGAGGCTGGTGGGGGGGGGGGAAGGGT